AGGACCCCCATGCCAGCCTCTGTACCCCACCCCCAGCCGGGAAGTAGAGTCCAGGGGTCTGAACGCCCATCCCCAAGTCCCTTCGCATCCAAATATTTACTGCCATGTCTGCACACAAAAATTAATACGCCAGTTTTGTCTGCGGTTCCCACTACCCGCTTTGCCTTTGGGGCTCAGGCCTGCCCCCGCCGCCCCGGCCAGCCACAATGCCAGCGCCCACAAAGCCTGCACAGAGGCCGGCTGGTCGCGCATACAAAGCACCCAGCCCCGCCATTATCATTCCGGAGCCGAAATCCAGCCCGGCGCGCATCTCATCGGTCATTCAGCAACCCTTAATGACTTGTCAGTTCCTTGCCCTGCCATTTTCTGTCTAATTAATTCTTTTATTGTGCACCGGATAAAGAAAGACAAAGGCTTCCCCGGCAATAATGATTCATTAAAATGCAGCGCCTTCTCCGCAGCTCTTGGCCCCGCACCAGCCCGGCTGCTCTGCCGCTGCAGGCCCTGCCCGCCCGCACTCCCGCCGGGCCGCGCACCCCTTAACCCTTTGCAGCCCCGCTTGAGGGGAGCTGGGGAGCGGGGCTCCCATACACGGGGCTCGGGGAAGATCCTGGTGGACTTCGCAGTCACCATGCCCACCAGCGTCCTGCACTTTCCCACCGGGGCCTCGGCGGGACTGGATTCCGGCCCAGCACACCCCCCAAAGGTTGGGCTGCTGGGGTGCTCTGCTCCGGGCCGCCCAGCGTGGGTGCAGGAGGGAGGGAGGCTGAGCTGAGCCCTCGAGGCTGGGGCGCCCTGGGAAGGGAGTCAAGGCCCTAGGGGCACAGGGCAGGAGGGTACCTATCACGTGTGTCTGTCACGTGTGCCAAGCCTGGACAATCCTCAGAGCCCCTCGGTGAGGCTGTCACCATTCCACGGTCACGGGAGGAAACAGAGGCACACAGAGATGACTGGCAAGGGACAGAGCTTCAGGCCCCTGGCCTGGCCTGCCTGGGGTGTGGGGGGTTGTAAGACACCCCCCGTGCGGCAGGAGGGAGAGGTGTCCCCCCACTCCCCGAGGCTTCTGAGTGCACATTCTCTGCCTGGTTTACTTTGAATTTTCTAACCAACAAACCCACCTCACTGTGCGGGTGAGCAAAAAGAACTGTGTGATCAGAGGTAGTAACGTGTTTAACAGTCACTCTCGGGCCTCTGTGCGGAGCTCTGGGTCGCAGCCGCTGGGTCGAAGCCGCAGCCGGTTCCTAATCTCACTGAGAGCCCCCAGCTCTACGGGGGGGCTCATTCCCATCTTACTGCTGGGAACTCAGAGGCTGCACGGGAAGCCAGGTGCCCCGAAGCCAGCAGGGAAGGCAGGAGCTGGGGAACCCCTCAGAGCCCCGCTCCCTCTTTTTGGAGACAAAGGGGCTGGGGGTGAGCCGGGCTCGGCTCTTAGCCCCGGAAGGTCCTCCCAGGAGGGCAGGGCATGAGTGTCTTCTCTTCTCTCCTTGGAAGGCTCCATGGGGGGGGCAGGGACCCCGGGTCTCGGCAGCCCATCCTGGGAGGGGTTGGTCGCACATCTGCTCCCTCCGGATCCAGGGACCCCGCAAGCAGGCAGGCTGTGGCCCAGGGTGACAGAGCAGCAGGAGGCATGAGGACGTGAAGTCTCCAAAACACAGAACCATGATGCTCCTCTTCTCTGCCTGACTTCCTCCTCTCCGGGAGGCAGCAAGGGGACTGGGGTGGGTCCCTGCAGCTCCCGGCAGCCACCCAGGTGTCCTCCGGATGGGGCTGGGGGGGCGGGGCCTGAGGGGCAGCAGGGCTGTGCCCAGCAGGGAGAAGCAGACGCCCGGGCTCAGGGCATAGGGAAATGTCTCCTTCCCTCAGTAGCGCCACATGCCTGGGGCGGCAGATCCCTCTCCCTTGTCTTGGGGTCTACACTGGCCCCAGGGGTGGGAGCAGGGGATCTCACACCGCTGTCTCCATGGCCCTGAGACCAGTCCTGGCCAGCACAGGTTTCCCCTGAAGGCTGGTGGAAAGTGTCCCAGGAGGCTGTCCAGCGGCCGTCAGTCACCACCCACAAACACGTCACGTCAGCCCTGATGTGTGGCCCACAGCCCCTGCAGACCCGGTTGGCCACAGACGAGGTCCGTGAAGATCCTCCATCCAGGGCTGGCCTGGAGGAGGGAGGACAGGGGTCCACGCTGGGGACGCTGGGGAGGGAGGACAGGGGTCCACATAGTAAGGCACCTCCCTGAGTCGGTGACACTTGCCCTGGCTGCTGTCCCCCAGATGTGGCCAAAAGTCAAAGCAGGCAGGGTGGGGGTGGAGTGTGCCCCAGGGAAAGGCCTGGGTTGGGGGGCGTGGGCCTCCCCCGGCAGCTGCTCCGAGGACATGGGCCATCCCCTGAGCTGACAGCCGCGCCAGCCGTGAACTCACATCCAAACAGAAAACCCACTCCTGAAAGCAGATATCATCCCAGGAAGAGCGGCTGTGAACAGGCCCGGGGTTGGGGACTGGGGGCTTTCCCAATCTACCAGAGCAGGGTCTGGGTCATAAGGCTGTTTCCCCTTTGTCTCCGAATAGGGCATTCTGTTCAGTTGAGATCAGAGGCGATGTGTTCTGCTCTGGGGAAGGAAACGAAAAATGAGGAACTCTTCCCCGCCAGCTCATCCCCATGATGGGCCGATGGGCCGGCCGCTCTTCCTGAGGACGCCACCCTGGCCTTGGGCAAGGTGGGGCGAGGCCAACCTTGTGAATGATGTTGTCTGCTGGGAGCTCCCTGGAAAAACCCTCCCAAGCCTGAGGACCAGGGCAGCCCCTGGGACCCCTCTCCGCGGCCCTGACTGTCCCCCCCCCCCCGCCCCAGGGATCCACGTTGCCTCCTGGAGACGTCACTGGGGACCCGGCGTTTGGGAAACAGAGCCCCCAGGACTCCAATGCCTGAGAATGTGCCCTCGGGGAACCCACTGGCCTGGCCCCCAGAGAGCAGGGGGCAGGGGGCGGACGGAGGCACGGCCTTACCAGAATGGTGGTGGCAGTCCTCGCTCTCCCTACAACTCCATGATGAGCTCAAAGGGAGGAAACCCTCCGGAGGCTTGCCCGGGCTGGGACCCAGGGCCGTCGGGGCCTTTGCACCAGTCAGGCAGGCGGGAGGAAGGGCCACACCCCCGGGAGTCAACACGCAGGAGCCCCTCCAAGTGCAAACTGAACCGGCAGGGCCTCCGGCCCCCAGGAGCCTGGCATGGCCTGATAGATCCCAGAACAGTGAAGAGGCGGCCTCGCTCCCTCTGTCAGGGAGCTGGATGCGGGCGCTTTCCTTGCTTCGGGGTGTCCGTGTGAGAGCCTGGAGGGCCGTATGGACCTGGACAGCCCTCCGCTGCACCAGGACATGCTGGACCGGCCCCACACGGGCATCCGTGAGCCTGGCCTGCAGCCCCCTGCAGACCCCGCCTGGCCCAGGAGGCTTGGCACACCCCAGACTTCACGAACCCTCGTAAATCCGGGCAGCTCTTCCCCAAGACTACTCTTGGCAGGCCCGGGACAAGGCTCTCCAGCGCAGGGTGAGGTCCGCGCCCTGGATCGCAGCCACACGGGCGGCTGGCAGACAAGGAGACGGGCTGGGCGCCCCCCTCCCCCGCTGGAACCACAGAGCTAGTTGTTTCAGGGATCTGGGTCCTCGTGAGAAGCTCAATCTTCCTCTGGGCCCCAGACGCATCCCCAGGGCCCAGCGGCGGGTGCACCCAGCCCAGTGAAGCCCAGAGGCCGGCTGCATAGGCCGGGCAGCCCCAACAGGGGGTGAGGCCGCCCCTCGCCTGCTCCAGCTCCCCACAAGCATTTCTCTCCTGAAACAGTCAGCTAACCGGACAACCCCGCCTGGTGCCTGTGGGGCGGCATTCACCCAGCTCCCAGCTTGGCTGGGCGCCAGGGCCCGAAAAATGCCGTCAGCCACCCAGAAACCCAGCTCTGGGATTCGCCCGGGAGGAAACCATGGCCCCAGATTGGACCCGATTTGCCTACTGAATAGGCCCTGGGCAGGGGTGGGGGCCCGGGGAAGGAAGGCTCCGGCTGGCCAGCCAGCAGCCTGGGGCCTGAGATTTGCTCAGACGCAGATGCAGCCCCTGGAGGGGGGGGGCGGGGGGGGTGCCTGGCTGTGCCCCAGGGCTGGGACGCTGTCTCCGTCCTGTCCTCGTGGGGCTCCCGGTGCCCACATCCTCCGAGGAGGGCCCAGGTCGAACCCCACTCCTGCCTCGGCCGAGGCCCTCCCACACGGGACCCCAGACGTACAGAAAGCAACACACAAAACGCAGCCCAAGTAGATAAAAAGCTTTTTTTTTTTTTTTTTTAATTTTATCAAACTGATCTGTAGAAAGTTAGCGTTGCTTGGTCAGAAAGCAGCAGAACACAGCAGGTAGTGGCGGCGGAAGGCCAGACTCCACGCGGATCGGCAGAGTTGGCGTGAGAATGAGCTATATAGTTCCCTGCCCGCTCGCCCAGGAAGAGACAGGCAAAAAAGAAAAAAAAAATTGTTTCTAGAAAAAGGTAGGAAAAAGTAGAAAAAGTAAAAAGAAGCGACTTCTCAGACGTCTCTCTATGTACAAAGTTGAAAGGCACAAGTTTCCATGAAGTAGGCGCGGTCAGTGCTCGGCACACAGCGGAAGCAGGGGTTACTCCTCTAAGACTAAGCCTCTAAACACTTTAGTGGACGAGGTTTTAGCTTCACAGCTTGTAGGTGGCATCTGGTTCCTAAGAGCCCCGATGAACGAGCCACCCCGTCCCAGGAAATCCCCGTCCTGGGCAGCGACCAGCTGGAGCCACAGCCCTGGGGCCGGGGCGCCCCAGCCCGGTCAGAGACACTGCAAGGCAAATCCCTTCTCCTCCCGGGGGAGGGGGGTGGTTCCTGGAGGGGCCTGGAGCTCAGGGGGTGGGGGGGGCTACCCCACCTGTCCTCCCAGCCCTCGTGCTCAGCCACCGGCCTCTGTTTTGTCTTCAATTCTACTCTCAGCACGAATGACTTCATTAATTAAAGATAAAGTAATACAGAACATAAATACACTTCAACAGCTTCCCAAACAAATCGAATGTGTTTAAGCTTCCAAAATAAAAATAAAAAAAAAATAAAATAAAAAGAGAGAAGTGTTAGTCGCAGCCAAACCTTGCCAGGAAGAGCCTTGATGGCAGGCAGCACCTCAGAGCTGACGCGCCGGTCCCCAGAGGGGTTCCTGCAGTGGGGTCCCCTGGAGGTCTCCATGCTCGTGAGGCTGGCGGGGACCCTGGAGCACTGGAGGCCAGAGACCCCATGCCTCTTCCCTCCTTTCTGTTTTGTGCTGTGGCTGCTCCGTCCACCGAGAGGCAAAACCGAGGCGCTGGTGCCAGCAGGGAAGAGGGCCCGGTGGCGGTCCTTGGTTCCAGAGTCGCCAGGCATGGTGAAGAGAGCGCGGGAAAGGGGCTCTGTCGGCCGGCCGCAGGGAGCGTGGAGATCTGGAAGCCCCGTGCAGCGCGTGGATTACAAAGCGAGGCTTCCCGGCACACTTCAGCCTGCGCCTGCCGGTCCGCCCCCAGCCCTCCCTCGCTAGCGCACCCCTCCGCGAGACCGGAGGCTCCATCCGTCCTTGCCGAGATCCAGGCTGTCCCGCACCGACACCAGTCCCCTCCCCGGGGCCACGGCGCCCTCAGGGTCTGGTCAGGGTCGTGTACACGGGCTGGTCCCAGTTGCCGGGTGGGCTGTGGGCAGGCGGCACAGAGAGGCCGCTGAGCAGGGGTGAGGCGTAGGGCCGACGAGAAGGGTGGAAGTAGGGGCACTGGTAGAGGCTGGACGGGCAGCCGGGGTACGGGCCATAGTAGCTGGGGGCCTGCAGGTCGGTGTAGTCGCCCTGCGAGCTGGTGAAGGAGCTGGCGGCCGCGGCGGGGGCGGCCGTGGTGACACTGGCCTGGCCGCTGTAGGAGCCGTAGTCAGCGCGGCCCGGGGAGCCGTGCGACTGGTCTCCGTAGTGGCCGGGGCTCAGCTGCTCCGTCTTGATGTGCGGCCGTGGGGGACCTGCCTCAGTGGGCGACGCGGAGGCCGAAGGGGCTCCCTTGTGGGCCCACACGGGGGACGCCCCGATGCCTGCCGCGCCCGAGTGTGAGTAGGAGGCAGCCCCGTAGGAGGTGGCGGCGGGCTGGCCTGGCTCCGCGGGCAAGGCCGAGTGGCCGTTGAGGGGCAGGTACTGGTCGAACTCATGCACGTCGAAGGTGTCCATGTTGCCGATGACCTCGCTGCTCAGCTCCGAGATGTCCACGTTGCTGAAGTCGATGTTCTGACGCCCGCTGTCCGCCAGGCGGCGGCCTTCCAGCTTCAGCTCGGGCTTGCCCCCGTGGTGCAGGTCCGTCTTGGGGGTGGTGGGTGGGGTGGGTGGCCCATGGGTCTGCCCTGGGGACAGAGCACGTTTCAGAGATGAATGCCCCTTCTGTGGGGGGCCGGCCAGGCCGGCGACGCGCACCCGGAGGAACATGAGCCCGCTAACTGCCACAGGTAGAAATCAACGGCTTTTTGTTTCTGTACGTTTCCCAGAAATTCCAGCATAGCCAGACCCAGACCTCACTCCTTGGCCGAGGAAATTCCGTTAAGCACTGTTCTCGGGCGAGAGCTGGGTCTGCGGACGCCCCGCTGTGAAGACCAAGGTGGGGGAAAGAAAAGGAAGTGCCCGGCCCCCTGCCCACGACCACAATGGGACCCACACAAAACATGTTCTCCCGGAGGTTCGCAGCTTTGGCCGGCTTGACCGAGACTGCCCGGCTGGCCAGGATTCTCCCCATCTGTCTGATGTTAGAGCTGGGCAGCTGACCGCCGCGCCAGGGGCAGGAGTGCTGGGTCAGCACCAGCTGGAAGGCCAGTGGAAGCAGAAACGCCTTCAGGCAGAGCAGAACACACCCACATCACCCAGGCCGGGCCACGGCAAAGCTTCGAGACCCTCAGGGCTCGGTGGGGGCTAAGGAGTCCCCCGGCCGCCCGTGTGCATCGGGGAACCTGGGATTATCTCAAAGCCACCTGCCCTGGCAGTGAGCCCCACTTCCCACACCCACTACCCATCTCAGCAGACGTTGAGACCCCCAGTTCTCCTGCTGGGGCAGGCACCTGCTGTGGGGCCCCAGGAGCCCACCTGTGTGGTCGCTGTGGTGGTGTGGGTCACCCAGGCCGGCATCGGCCTTGTACACGCCGCTGCCGGGGTGGGGGCCCAGCTCGGGTCCGGAGTCGGAGTCTCCTTGGCCCGTCTTCACGCTCTTCCTGCGGCGTGGCTGGTACTTGTAATCCGGGTGGTCCTTCTTGTGTTGGACCCGCAGCCGCTCTGCCTCCTCCACGAAGGGGCGCTTCTCACTCTCGCTCAGCAAGCTGCAGCACCAAGGGCAGACGTGGGATGGCCCGAGTCCCCATGCTGCCCGGGGGGCAGGGCCTCACCCACCCCGACACTCACGGGGAGGCCCGTGTGTGCCCCTGCGCCTCAGCAGGCACCAGGCAGGCTCTCCCCTCGCCGGGGACAGGGCACTCAGGCCAGCAAGGAGTTCTGGTGAGGTCTGTTCTCACCAGGGTCTCAGGAACGTGCTACAACAAGACCCAAACCTTCCCACCTCCATCATCTTTACTTCCCTTCTCTCAGAGCCTGTGTAAGTCCCTCCCCTTGGGGCTTTCTCAGGCAGGCGGGGAGGAGGCAGAACCCAGCGGAAAACACACCGGGGACAAAGCGAGAGTTCCTGGGAATGGGCAGGGATTCCATGGGCATCTGGGCTTCCCAGACCCCCAGGAACGCTGGCAAAACGCGTGTGATCCTCACTGAGGCTCAGAACACACACGGTCCTCTGAAACCTTTCCAGAAACTCACCTCCAACCGTCTACGGAACAGGCCGCGGGGCTGCCGGAGTCCGCTGTGCCCAGAGCAGACAGAGACAGGCACGCAGAGGACAGACGTCCCAACTCCCAGTGCCCACTCCCAAGGAGAGGGGCAGGAAATGGGAGCCAGTGCCCCAAACCCACAACCATCCATTTTAAACCCAAGTAGAATAGAACACATTTGGTGGGGATGGGCAGTTCTCAGCACCACTGCTGTCCTACTTTCTGCAAAAATGTCCAGCTTTGCCATCCCCAAGTATGTGCACAGCGTGCCTGCGCTGGACCCCTCCTGTATCTCTCATCCTTCCCTGCACAGGGTGCAGAGGTGGGAAAGGAGGAAAAAGCTGTGGGGACCGTCCCAGCTGAACAGACGTGCACCCCTCCAACTGCCTTCACTTCCCCACATGGGGGTCAGAGTGGAGGAAGCCCTTTCCAAAGAGGGACACGTCCAGAGGGCACTACCCTGCCTGCTACTGTGTCCTGCTTCCCGACAGAAACCACCTTCCCTTGGAGAGGGCCAGGCCTCCAGACTCTGGGGCCGCTCACGCGTGGGGTCCCCAACCCCTACATGCCATCCCAGCCTTCGGCAGGCTGTTGGCGACTGAGGGAGCGTGCTAGGGGTTGCACGCTCGCCCGGCAGCCCTTTCTCGGGTCAAAGAGGGGGTTCCCACTGGGACTGGCCCTGAGAACAGCCACTGGGAGCAGAGCCGAGGGCCGGCGCGGGGCCACCTCCAGGGTCCCTGCGCACCTCCCTCAGAACCACTCGCAGCCCGCCCGCGCGGCTGCGGGGCACCGTCCCTGCACACACGCACACACACGCACACCCGGGCACCGCGCACTCACCGCCACAGCTTGCCCAGCGTCTTGCTGAGCTCGGCGTTGTGCAGGTGCGGGTACTGGTCCGCCAGCTTGCGACGCGCCGCCTGTGCCCACACCATGAAGGCGTTCATGGGCCGCTTCACGTGAGGCTTGGCCTTGAGCGCGCCGCCGCCGCCCCCGCGCACCGGCATGGGCACCAGGCTCCAGTCGTAACCCTTGAGCACCTGCGACACGGCGTCGCGGATGCAGGCCGGGAAGCGCTCGTCCGCCGCCTCGGCCGCGTCGCCCCGGACGCCGCCCCCCGCGCCCGCAGCGCGGCCCAGGCCCTCGGAGCCGGCAGGCGACGGCGGCGCGTCCGAGTCCGAGTCCTCCACGTGCGACATGGAGCTGGCGGTGCCGGACGGGCTGCAGGGCGGCTGGGCGCGGGCCTCGCTCATGTCCAGCATCGGGGCCGCGCGCGGAGGGGCACGCACCGGGACCCGCGGGGCCGCTGCTCAGCTGCGCCGCGGCCGCTCAGGGACCCGAGGTCGCCGCGCCGTGGCCCGACCTGCGTCCCCGCCGCCGCCGCCGCCGCCGCCGCCGCCGCCCGACCCGGGCCTCCCCGCTGCCTCCGCCGCCGCCGAAGCTCCGTCCCGACAGAGGACCCGCAACAAGTTTCTTTAAGCGGCGGCCGCGAGGCCCGCCCCCTCCCCGGCTCCTCATTGGCCGGAGCGCGTCCCGCTGCCCCCGGGGGCGGAGCCTGGCGTCCGCCCCTCCCCCACCCGAAGAAAGTGCCGCGGTTCCCTCTGCGCCCCCGCGCGCCCCGCCCGGCGCCGCCCCAAGCCTGGGGCCCCTTTTCCAGTCGGGTCGGGGAGGGAAAGGGGTCGAGGACCGGGGACGGCGGGGCGCTCCGGGGTGTCTCTGCGAGGCGCGTCGCGGCTCCTGCGGGTCCCGCCCCCGGCCCGGTCGCCAAGCCCGGGGAAGCCCGCTCCGCGTGGAGGCGGGTCCTCCAGAGCCTCCCCCACAGCGGGTCCTGAGCCCCGACGTCTCGCCCACAACCCAGAGGCGCCGGGGTCAACTCCTGCCAGCCTGCAGCCCAGGGGAGGGTTGGCTCGGCCGTGTAGCCTCAAAGCCCGGGCTCCCCGCCCGCAGGGCCAGCGCGCCGGGCAAGACCCTCCAGCGCGCCCTTGGTTTGCGCGCCGTGCACGTCCAGGTAAAGCGCGCCCAAGGGCCGCGGCTGGGAGCTGGACGATCCCAGGTCCCCCGCCCAGTCCGGTATGAGCGGGGAAAGCGCGGGCGGGGGAGCGGCCCCAGGAGCTGGGCCGCAGAGGGAGGCGGGAGCGCTGGGCAGGGACTGAGCTGACCCTACTTGCGGAGTCCCTGGGGCCGCCCGGCGGATGGCGTGGCCGGACGCGGGGGCCTAGGGCCTTCCGGGCCTGACCCGGTGAGGGGGGTGGGCGCTGAAGCTCTCTGGCTGGGCGGCCCTGGGTGGTCCGGCGAAGGTGATGGCCGCCCCGGGGCGCCTTCGGTGGAGGAGGTGGGCGCGCCAGCCTGGAGGGAAGGGGGCGGGCTGTGCGGCCCGGCTTGGGGCGGCGGGGTCGGAGAGGGGACATTTCTCCGGAGGCTAGAGCCGGGCCGCGGCTCCGAGTCCCCGCCCGAGGCCGCCCCCGCGAGTTGGCCTTGGGCCTGGCAGTCCCCGAGGGCGGCTCAGATTCTTTTGCCAAACCCTCGGGGAGGCGACGAACCGGCAGCCCAGAGCTTCGCCACAGGCCCTCGGTTGGCCGAGTGGGAACACGTGCGGCTGCGAGCTGTTTTTCGCGGGCCCTGGGTGACCCTAGGCAAGGGCGACCGATTCCTCTCCTCAGAGTCTTGGACGCCCGGGCCACTGGCCTCTGCAGCCCAGGGGCAATGCCGGAACGGAGTGGGTGTGCTACCAGAAAACTCCAAATTTAAAGTCGGTGGGTCGGCGGAAGAGACTCCGAGTGCTCATATACCAATCCCGGGTCCACCACCGAGCCCGGGACTGCCCAGGGCAGGCCTCCTGGCCCCACCCAGGCCTGCCTTCGCCACCGGGGTGCCGATCCTTTAGCTCGCACTTGGGCCTTGGAGCCCTGTCCACCTGTCCACCCGTCTAGGGATGAAGCCTTCACCTCAGGGACTCTGGGGGCTGCCCAGGGATCCCACAGCCTTGCATGAGAACATGCTGGCCTCTCTGTGGGGACACCTCAGAGTCTAAGAGGGAGGAGCCCAGATTTCCTGTCACCTGCAGGTGACCCCAAGGCACAGCATGGGCTCGGCTCCTTGCCCTACATCAGGGAACCTGATATTGTGCGTTATGGCCACGGGGATAGGGCGCGGTTGCTGTCTAAGGTGAACAGCGCTGGTGGAGGGCCCCAGGGTGGCAGAGCTGAAGCCTCTGGGCTTGGCCTGTGCCCTTGTCTCCTGTCCTGTGGCTGGCCTCCCTTGGCTCTGTCACCTGCGGGGAAACATCCTTACCTGTTCGTCTGCAGTGGCCTCCCCTCGAGGTCCTGCTCTCCGTCTGGGGTCCGCGCTCCACACTCTGCAGCCGGAGGACTGAGGGAGGCCCAAACGGGGATCGCCTGAGGGTACGCATCCATCTTACTGGCCCGTGGGGACCCATTGCAAATGCAGGCAGGAGAAGGGTTGAGGTTGGCAGACCTGGACCCCCGAGAAAACAGGTCCCACCCCTCCCTGCATCCAGTGTACCACTGGGCACCAGATCTGCTGTGCGCAGAGACAGGAAGCACAGACGGCATGGGAGGCATCAGGTAAGGCAGCCTCTCCCTTCTCCCCACTGGCCCAGAGGGTCATGGGCTGGTGACCACCAGGCAGGGGGAGTCCCCTGCCAAACCCGGGTCGTACAGGTCCTAGGCCCCACCCTCAGCTCCATGGGGCTGCAGTGACTGCCCCGGAGATTGGTAGGGCTGGTGGGCCATGCCTGTCATGTATGTACAGCTCATGACTCCTACAGGATGGGTAGGGAGGGCAAATCCTGCCAGGCCCAGACTCGTGCTGTCTGTGTATGCCCTTCCCCACAAGGCAGCATCCAGGTGTAAGCTCATCGGCCCAGCGCAGGCTATGGACACATAGGGTGGCACGCAGACGTACTCCACAGCCTCCTGGCCTTCTGGAAGGCCCGTATACTTACCAGCGTGCCATCCAGCCTCCTCCTCTGTTAGTGCTGACCTCAGTGCATGCCCTCAGTGGCTAGGCAGGCCTTAAGCAGGTACGCGGGTGTAGCGTTCAGAGAAAGGGGTGACTGCGGTTGCTTCCTGTGTTCCTTAGTAATGATGAAGCATCTGTTTTGTGCCAGGGGCTTTAGTGGGCAAACACCAAAGAGATGCGACACTCACCACGGCAGAGGTGTGTGTGTGTGTGTGTGTGTGTGTGTGTGTGTGTGTGTGTGTCTGGGAAGGGGTCTTTTGAGGAGGCAAAATTCAGCTGAGACCTGAAGCTTCCAAATTCTGGAAGAAGGAGGAAAGACCATTCCCTCAATGGCAAGGAGGTTGGGAGGAGACAACATGTGCAAAGGCCCTGAGGCAGCAGAGAGCATAGGGTATCTGAGAAAGAGTGAAGCTACAGTGATTTAAAACTTGAGGGACAGCTCTTTGAACCTCCTCTCAGTCCACCTCCTGGCTGTTCCTTCCTGCCCCCACCCACCCCAACTTCACCCGGTGGCCTTTGCAGTCTCAGGGATGTGATCCGATAGGCCAGGTGTAAACCATATCCCTGCCCCTGGGGCCTAGGAATGCCGATGGAGATGAGGATTCTAGACCTACACCCTTGGCAGGGCCCCAAGGGCACCTGTGAAGAAGGGCATACAGACTGGCAAACACCCCTGTGCCGACGAGCCCGGGCTGGTCCAGGCCCGGAGGGTTCCAGGGAGACCTTTTCCAGGCAGAAGACCCCCAACCCTTCCACCTGTTGGCTTCTAGGGAAGCTCAGAAAGCCCGTGCCCACATGTGTGCACCCCATGTGTGCCCATGTGTGCATACACGTCCCTGTGCGAGCACATGTGTGTGCTCCCGGGTGTGTGTGCATGCATGTGCCCCTGTGTGTGTGCATGTGTGTGCATGCCCATGTGCACATGCGTGTGCCCCTATGTGTGCATGTGCACGTGCCCTGTGTGTGCCCAAGTAAATGTGCAGGCATGCCCGTGTGCCACTATGTGTACATGTGTGTGCACGTGTGTGGGGGGGTGGGCCCTGGAGAGGCTGAGTGGGAAGGAAGGGCTGCCCACCATGGAAGTGGGCATTGTACTCTCACTGCTCGCAGCACCCTGACGTCTCTCCCCACCCCCTGCCCGGCCCAGATCTTGGACAGCCTGGGAGGCCGTGTCCGTAGTGTGTATGGTCTTTCAGAGAAAGGCACTGGGGGCGGGCCACAGGGGCTCTTGAGCCCCAGGGACGGCATGGCCCCTGTGTGTCTGCAGTCGTGACCTAGGCCTTTCTGTGAGCCAGCCCGAGGCAGTTGGCATCACATCCTGGGACCCCCGGCTCAGTCTCAGAGATTAATTGGTGCTTTTAATTACTGGCTGGTCTGCAGAAACCGAAAGTCTCCGACACAGATGAGCAATCAGCCCCGAGCAGCGGCTCCATAAAGACAGCCTCATCCTGCCCCGCTGGGTCTTCGGAGAGAGAGGCGAGGGGGCTCCCGGGGGCGCCAGGAGTCCAGTGTCCCTCGGTAACAGACCATCGGGGCTCCGGGCCAAGCTTTTTGTTCAAACACCCCGACTTAGTTTGCCAGCTGGCGTGGAAGTTCTGGTTTGGGTCAAAGCCCTCCCCTTGGTTGGGCTGATGACCACTTGGGAGCTGGCTGTGTCTGTTCCTGGGCCTTCTCTGCTCTGCGTGCAGAGGACACTAGAAGGAAGATCCCACCTGGATTCTGCTCCCTCCGCCATAGACCTTGGTGCTGCGGGCCAGCCTGTGGGGGTCGCTGAGTGGCTCACTCCATAGAGGGGCTCCTGCTCAAGCCAGTGTATCTTCAGGACCCTGCCCAGCCTTTAAGTAGGGATGGCCGCAGCTCCGTCTCTGCACCTTGTCGCCAGCTCTGAAGCCTCCTGGGAGGAAAGCCACCCTGCCCAGGGATGACTGCTGATGGCCCAGTGGGACCCTCTGTGTGGCCATTCTTGGAAAATGTTTGGGGAGAGGGCGATGCTGAACCCAGAGGGCTGAGCCCCAGTGAACACGGCCTGTCCAGTGACATGTGCTACACAGATGTGTTGAGAACAGCTGTGGTCTCTTCCCAGGCCTCCGGTCACCCCCTGCTGGTAGCGATACCCCCCCACACCGGCCCTGGCCTCCAGCTGTGCCTATCCATCTCTCCTCTCTCTGGCCTGGGCCTGGGGGGCTGACTCCACCAGCGACATTCAAGTTTTGGTGTGTGTCTTTGACGGGGAGGCATACGCTGCTTCTGTAGCCAAAAAAACTGTCCTCAGGCAGGGTCC